CCTGAGACAGAGATGAGATGAAACACATGAGAACAAAAGAATATAATTTCCAATGAATAATCAAAGTAAAAACCCAAGAAACAAAAGGAAAAAAAAAAAAAAAATAGCACAAATGTCATGAATGTCAGCCCATAACCATCCCAATTCCAATGACAAAACCACCCTTAAAATTGACATATTTCACCCTCTCTCCATCAAATCCAATCATCTAAGCAATGATGAAGCCCCAAACACAAGCAAATGTGATGGCAACAACAACACAAGAAGCATCGCCACATGCCCCGACATAATCAACCTCCCAAATCTTCTCAACGACTCCCCCCCACTCTGCACTGCACCCACAAGGCCAGCTCGAGCCCTATCCTTCGTGTTTCTCCCCAAACAACCACTAAATCTAACCCCTAAGGGGGTGGCAGATGGGCCCTCGGCTATCAGTGGCCACCAAGCACGTCTTCTTTGCTCCCTTTCTACCTTCCTAAGACTCTTGAGTTCTTGTCGGATGACGGAGCGCACAGTCTTTAGATAAGAGTTGGAGTCGTGGTCTCTATAGATTGTGCCTTCAGCTCCATAGGCACCACGATCACTGAGGGTCTCAAGGGGATGAGGGGAGTTCAAGAAGGCTTTCTGTGCCGCTTTTAATGAGGCAGTGGATGTGGAAAATTGTGTTTCATCCAATGGATGGGGGCGGCCGAGCACGTAGAGGCCGCTGCCCAAGGGGAGAAGGTGGTGGTGGGGGGAGACAGTGTCATCAGGTTGTAGGATGAGGAGCTCACCCATAGGAGCATAAAGCAGTTTCTGTTCCAAGGAAATACAATATAGAATTAGGGGCAAGTTAGAGTTATAGCTAATACTTGTATAATGTATGTGTGGTTGGGGAACGATCAAATATGAGGGCATCTTTTTCGTGGAAGTAGGAATGGGCTCAAGGTTAGGTGGTAAGGGAAGGGGTCGCCACAAAATGACGTCTTGAGTTCCATTTCCTATCATGTATGGGCCCATCCCCACTGAACTACCAACAAAGTTCTTTCCTCCACTACTTTTATTATATTAAAAATTTGATTAAATAAAAAATAATTAAATCAAAACAAACTTCCACCATGAACTATATGACTAGGATATTACAATGGGAAATATATATGAGAAGCAAATTGCTATTTGCATTCCTTTTTTTTTTTTCTTCTTATAATTCATCTGCACCCATGTTTTTGGGTCCAAGCTCATGTTTTTGAGATTCCCAGCGAAAGAGCATCGGAAGTATATTATGAACGTGGGATGGCTATTTGGTAAAAGATAGCGGAAAAATCGGGTGCAAATATCAATGACCTTATGAAAATTGGTTATTAATTAACAAAGAGCATATCAAGCTCCCCACGGAATATACTGTAGCAATCCTTCCTAAGAACCAACTATCGGGTGAATGAACAGACCATTCCTATCCAATCTTTGAAGCCAAACAAATATTGGATAGTAAATCACTGTAAGAAGGATAGCTAGATTACACTACCTTGGGAGCAAGTACATGCTCATCAATTATAACAAATATGGAACCCAAAAACATTATAGATGTGTCTAAATAGTCACCCTTGATTTACCATTTCATCTTTCAAAAGCTCCCAAATTGCCTCGTTAGAAGCATTTCATTTAATTTTTAGATATAATATCAACCTATTACTCCACAGAGAAGAGATTTGATGAAAAGATAATTTGGCTTACCTGATTCTTAAGGCAGGGGTGCTTCCGGAAGTTGACATTCACAGCTTTGAGAAGCTCAGCGACATGGTCAGGGTAATTGCAAGAGAAAGCTCTGGGAACAATGTCTCTGTGCATTGTTACAGCTCTCACATGGCTTTGTGGAAGGTCCAGCTGTTGCAAAAGGTAGTCACCCCCACACATAATACATGGAGAACCGAATGTAACAACAGGCAATAGAGAAGAACGGGGGACCTCTCCTCTTATTAATAGCATGAGGCTAACCACGAGAGAGAGGCTTCCTCCAAGAGAGTGACCAGTGAAACGAAAGGTAGCGGAATCCCCATGGGCTAGCAAGTGGGCCTTCACATCAGGCAACACCTGCTCGTATATCCCTTTGGCTGCCTCATATATTCCCCTATGCACGAGCACATCTAGTCCCTGCAAATGCATGTATTCAAGTTACACACACATACACAAACACGCCTATGCAGATGCAGAAAGAGAGAGAGACTTTCGTTTGTACATGAATAAACCAAGTTTCTTCTAATGCAAATAGGAATTGCTCAAAATAATCTGATAAACTACCCAACAAAAAAGCTACAGACTTGTCCAACTATAGTAAGGTTCAAACATGTCCGGCTTCAGTTACAGCAAGTGATCCAGCTAAAGAAGAATCTTTTATGGATCTTTCTCTCTAAAGAGGTTCTCGTGGGATTCTCTTGATTGAGAGCAGCGGAGGTTCTTCTATGCCAATATTACCAAAAATAATAAAATATCTAATCAAGCAGCAGCTCATATATTGATATCTGATGGAAAGAGATTGGAACCAGGGTTTGTATGAATAGTTGCAGCTCCAATGGTGAAAAATGTAAGCCATGGCTTGCAAGTTTCTTAGAAACCCTTGAATATTATTTGTCTTTTTCAGTAACCCTTAAATATTATAGATTACTGTTATCAGATTTAGAGTTCATGTCAGTTCAATAAAACTCTTAACATCTCAATAATTTGATTCGAATGAGAGAATGATTCTACTAAGAGTGTGAAACTTGTAGACAATTGTTTTGGATCCAAATACAATCCAAAGAATACCAAGGAAGCAAATGAGTGTCCCCTACAACTAGAATAATTTGCATCTATAGGATTTAACGGAAGAAAAAGGAATAGAGACTAAAGGCACTTTGGCTCAATATCAAAATCTTATGTAATGCCACAGTAACTCCGATGGGTTTTCAGAATTTCCTCACCTCTGTTTATTTCTTATCTTAAATCCATAAATTTTTGTCATCATCTTTATATCGTTACTCATTACAAGCTAAGAATGCATAATCAAACTGCATTTTTTCTGATATTTCTTTGATTGCCAATCTTAAACTTAACAAGGAACTAATTAAGGACATCGGATAAGAAACCAAACCTTCCTGAGAAATAAATGAAGCAAAGGATTTGTGACATATGAGCAAGCAAGACAACCAAACCAGAAATAAATTAAATCTGCAGTATCACTACCACATTATTATACAAATATTTCAATGCTGCTAATAGAATGATATCTTCAAGAAGTTCACAAAAACCAAGAAATGTGATGAAAATATGGAATGGTTATAAACAGTCTAATTTATACACAAACAATAAGTATGGCAAATGAGAAAGACTAAAAGCTTAGAGAAGGCATACAAGAAGGTCAAAAGCTAAAATAAGGTGTTCAAAGTTATGATTCATCACTAATAACTTCGACCATATATCATATGATTTCGTATTGAAAGGTGGAAAAACAAAGAGAGTTACCAAAAGGAGCAAAGCAGTTTACCTCGAACTGGATGGGTTCAAAGAGTAGATTTGCTTGCCAGGAAGCCAGTGACTCAGAACCCTGAGATATTCAACATTTTTAAAATTCAACAACAATATCAATAAATAATCAAACTGCTAGCATTTCAAACTAAGAAAAAAAAATTCAAAAAAGAGAAATTAATTAAGACAATGATAACAAATTTTGAACGACAATAATCAATATGTTTCACCTGAATAACAATTAGCCGGGTCCATTCAATTTCATCATCACATATAAACCATTCACAAGGTGAAGAATGGATAGAGTTTAGATCCTTTGCAACTGCTTGCCGTGCTTCATCCTCGGCAGCAACCACAGCAGTCACTGAGTTAGTGGTGGCAACAAAAGAAGCCACTTCAGATCCAGGCAAATTGGTCGCAACAGAGTCTTTGTCAAGGCCACCTTCAAATAAGTTGTGTGTTTCTCCCTCTTTAGAGTCACCAACCAAACTTAAATCAGCACCATTTACGGCGTTGGCTTTTGCTGATTTAAATGGAAGAATGCTTTTCGATTGAGAATGCAAATAGGATGCAGCAGCAGCAACAACTTGATAAGCAGCTGTTGCACTTATAACTCTCTTTTCGTTGGGTTTCTTCGGTTTTTCACTTTCTGAAACTCCTATTTCAGTCTGTTGTTGGTCCTTTCCTGCCTTAGCCGCTTGTTCCTTTTTCGCAATAGAGGAGGTGACAAATCGAAGACCTTGGTATTTCAAAAGGTGCCCTGGCTGAAAGAACAAAACTGACCAATATTATTTTATTGTGCTTTATAATAACCATCAATTCAGTATACTTATTTGTCCAAAAGAAGTCAAATGCCTAAATGGCCGAAAACCACAAAGATTCATTACATTGTGATATGTATTGTGCATAACCAAAACAACCTGATTGATCATTTAGTAGAGAGAACAATCAAAAGCGTAACAAGTAATGGAAGTGTTGCTAAACCCAAGCTCACTAACTAAAAAAAGAGGAAACAAAAAGGAATTATGGGATGGTGAAATGAAAAAAGTGGGACGATGGGTACCTTGATTTGGGATGTTGAATAAGCCAGATTACTAAGATATGACATCTGCGCGTACAATTTGGTTTCGACAAGAGAGACCCGATGCAGAAGCTTAGAGAAGGAATCCCTATCATGTTGAATATTTGCATCTGATGAACAGGATACCTCCTCATCAACACAACAACCAGCCAATTCCACATTGCTACAAGAACAACCATCTCTCTCCTCTAAGTCCTCCTTCCCCAGCATCACATCCTTTGAAGGCAAAACCTCTTCCTCCTCTGCCTTATCAGGGCTTAAATCTTGTTCAGTTTTCTTCTTCTCCTTCCAAATAGACCTTATGTGAAGGATCTTCAAAACCCAATTCCCACTATCCACATTCAAGTGGGTCTGTTCAGTTCCATTTTTTTCTCTCTGTTCTTCCCCTTCTGCTTTGATTTCTGTACTGGTCTCCCCCAAAGAGAGTCTAATACTGGACTCAAATCCTTGATCACCATAATCTTCTTGTCCTTCTCTTTCTCCTTCCTCTTGTTCAACTAAAACATCATCCTCAGGTACCAAGAGAGGTGCAAACACTTCCGGTTGAATATTTTGGATCGGGGGGTCTCTCCTGAAACTTCTCGGCCATAAAGATCTTAATGGGTAGGTAAAGAAAGAAGAGGAAGATGATGGTAATGGAGTAGCTATTTGAGGGGCCGGCTTTTCCACTGATATACTCGCATTTGCATTTACAGGTGCATCGTTGTTTCGCCCTGATGCCCGAACTTGCAAACTTCCTTGTGTGATTTGAGAAGATGAGGGGCATATGTCGCCACCAACAATACCAATGTTTGAAGATATGATTCCATGAACACCAGTCTTGAAACATAGGATATCCATTTTATGCTACCTTAAGAACCCAATTTGAGATTGGAAACCAAATGAAATGAATAATATACAAACCCCACAAATGTGATAAAAAGAAACGCTTCAGCTTGAAACCTGTTTCTGACCAATTCCCCTGTTCATAACAGAGGGACAGAGCACTGTTTTAGGACACGTAAGTAAAGTCACAAATTGTACACTTAGATCTTCTATCACATAAGAGGAAAAAGAAAAGCTGCAGACCAATGTGCAGATTTTTTTTTTTGCCCTTTTCTATCCAGTTAGAAATAAAAGAAAACAATCAATATGAGGGAAGCAGAATAAAAATAGAAAGAAACTAAGGACCCAAGGATTCAGAAAATAATCAACTGGAGCAGCTTTAAACTCATCAAATGAAATTAAAACTTCAGCCTGATAACTGACACCCAGTTCTCGTGAGAATTCCTTTTAGAAAAAAAGAAAAAAAAGAAAGAGACAGTGAGACAGAGAACCCCATTTTAGAAGAGAGTTAAAAGAATCAAACAGATGTTATCAAACCAGATCTTCTTTTACGTATCAAGACGACAAAACCCAAAATCAAAAGATATTTGGCTCTCCATTCCATAAAACAGACTCAAAAAATAGATTCCCAAGTGGAAGTACATATTCAATCACAGGAATCAAAGTTAAAAATCTCACCGGTGGTACAGATTTCAGATCTCTCGAGAACGGTTTAGCACACAGATCTTCTCCTTTGGAGCAAAACAACAAATGGGAATTAAAATGAAGATAATTGAGTTTCTCGCAAAAACCAAGAAAAACCCAATAAGAGAGAAAGATGGGAAATCCTAACTTTTGGGGAGAGAGATCCCAAAAGGCCTGCTCTTTAGGCCAAACACCAGAAGCGTGAAAAGAAAGAAATCAGCAGGCGAAGCTTCTCTCTCTCTCTCTCTCTCTCTAAAGAAGTAAAAGCAAGACCAAACCGCCACCTAAATCACACCATAAATACACGCACAGAGTCGGAAACCAATTTAAAATGGACGATTTCTGTTTTTTTCCACTCCTTTTCTCTCTCTCTGACTTTTAATTGAAAATTTTTCCCCGACTCCTCGGCAATGAAATGGGTTTTAAAGGCAGGCGTTGGTTTCGTGTACGAGCTGTTCGGCACATGACATTTTCAAACTTTCTTCTCACAAAATGAATAAAAACGCCAAAAAAAAACGTCGTAGAGAGCGAAAGAAAAAGAGCATGACTGATGAGTAGGAGAGAGAGAAAATAAGATTGACCAATACCCCTATAATTATACGATAATATAAATAATAAACGACATAGAAGAACTTAGCGGGAGGGAGTGTGAGAATTAGAATTTGGAGGAAATATCCAACATGCCACGTCATTGTACAGATAAGCTAGAACTCCCGCTTACGTGTCCGAGGAGTTTACGACCCTTTTTTGCCACGTGGTGTCAAGAGACTACAGCCCCCTGCAATACCCCACTCGTTTTACACGCATAAACGTTATATAAGGTTGCAACCTTAAAATGTAGAACAACGGCTGCACCTCAAAAATCCGTCCTTTTAATTTTGAAAAGCCCTCTAATTGATCATCTTCACATTAAAAAAAAAAAAAGAAAGATTTTGTGTCTTTGAAATAGTATATCTTATAACACATTATCTAGATCGTCCATTTTCAAGATTTTGACATGTTTATAAATCTACTTGATTTTAATCATTTTTTTAGTTTCAAATTTTATAATTAGAATTAAAAATAGATTTTGAGATAATCTTAAAAATATTTTATATTAAAAATATATGTTATAATAAAAATTGAAGGTGTGCTTTAAATAGATTGTTTAAGGTGGAAACCTTACGAAAAGCACATCCTAAACATAAATATAATATAAAATAAAATAAGTGCTTAAATTACCCAAAAAAAATTACCTCAAAGTTTGGGGAGCTTAAATTCCAAGATTTGTTTTGTGAGCGTGATAGAAAGTGTGAAACCGCCACGAGTTTAGTTTGGACAAGAGTTAGAAATGTTAATTGAGATTTGAGATCCCCATCACAACACAACGCAAAAAGTTAATATAACCGTCAATGTAGGACTATGAAAGGTGTGTTTAAGGGTCTACACATGCATATGTCAATCTTTAAAAAAACGCATACAACAATCCTCCTTTTTCCTCTTCTTTTCTTCTTTTTTCTTTCCTTCTTCTTCTTTGTATATATATATATATATAACATTGTGTTTCTTTGTTTAGAAATGTTATTCTTCAATGAATAATATTTTGCTTTTAAAAATAAAAATATTTTAAAATTAAAAAAATATAATACAAATAAAAATGCTTTTGTTTTCTTATTTATATATGTATAAGTATATTTTTATTTCAAATAGTAATAAACGTTCTAGAGCTTTCCCTTTCCATGGAACCCTAGATCTTTATCTCACATCTTCTCCAAAGTTCCATCTTCTCTTCTCATTTTTGGTATACGATCTTCTTAGTTGACTAATTTGTTTTGCTA